TTCTCTTCTTTCCCCTCTTCCCTCTCTCCTTTCTCCTGCTCTCTCCCCTTCTTCTCTCCTCTCCTCTCTCTTGTCCCTCCCCCTTCCTTTCCTCTCCCCTTCACCCTCTCCTCCCTCTCCTCAGCCTGGATGCCAGATCAATTTCTTCTAAGGCACACCTGTGCCATGTTACTTTGCTTGACCAAGCAGAGGTTGGATGTGTGTGGGGGGGGTGGGGGGTGCAATTGGAGGAAAAGGGGGGTTCTCCCTTGCTGGGAAGGAGTGGGCTTTGCATTCAATAAGAGCTGCAACAAAATGTTGCAGCTTCTTTCCTGCTGTTCAAAGTCCAGCCGTGTCCTTCTCTTGGAGACTACAAACCACTCGGGGGGGAAAAAAGCATCCCTTTCGGTTGTTCTGCGGTCTCACTTGTGCATCACACTAAAGCACAACTTGTATAGCTGTAGTTTGCAGAATAAACTCCAGTTTACGGCACGATACAACGAGAGCATCTAGATTCGCACGCTACCCTAAGCCACGATGTGCTTAGTCGTGGGTTATTGACAGCGAAGGAGGAGATCTGTCTTAGACTAGGATAGCCAACCTCAGGAGGAGTTTGGTGGCATGTTTTCTGACCAACAGATTTATTCAAAGGCATCGGCGTTCTTGAACCGCCGCTCGTTTGATCAAAAGCAGATAATGGTTGAATCGATGTAGGCTTTAAATTGGAAAGTGCTGGGAAGGAGGGAAGACAGGTGAGGACTGGATTCCCTGTTTCTCCCGAGGGAGTGTTGGTTAACCAAGGGCTGGGTAAACTCAACTAGAGTGTTGGGCATTTAGAATGAGCTGTTCTGTCCAGTTCCCTGCAAATCTGTTTGCTCTCCATCACCGAAGTGCTTTGGGGAGTGCCCCTCTTCCGAAGTCCTTGAGTCCAGGCCAGCAAACAGAAACTCCCTTTTAAAAAGGAAGGGTGAATGGCCAAGACAAGTGGGGTTTGCTTTGCTTCCGTCCCTCCCTTCTGTGAAGCCATGCCAATGTTGCAAGAAAGCTGCAGGCTGGGCACCGTTGGGAAGTGTTAATTCGCCAGTAAGCCAGGCATCTCGCAACATAGGATACATGTGGTGTTTACTTATTGCAGCAGCTACGACCTTGGCTTCCTCATTATTTTTTTGGCTTGCCTGATGAGAGAGAGGTGATAGCATTGCCCCGGGGTGTCGTCATCTCCGTATTTATCAAAATGACCTTCCCTCCCCGTGTGCACAAACAACTTATCAGAAAGCCAGCCATGACTGCTTTTCCTCCTGGCTGGCTGGCTGGCTGGCTGGCTATCCTGCCTCCTGTCCCCGGTCGCTGGATGCCAGGGCTCCTTCCCTTTCCAACTTAGAGGACTTTCTCCTCCAGTGGAATGGCTCCGTGGGTTTTCCCCTCTGCCTGCAGCTGGCCCTCTCCCTTCCTCCCTCCCTCCCACCCGGCCGGTGCATGGCCAGCGCCTCTGCCTCCTTTCCTGCTGAATTCATGGCTCTCGGCTGGAGAGTGTGTGTTCCTGGACAGCTTCTTGCAATGCTAGTTGCAGAGAATTCGGGCTTTTTGGGGGGTGGGTGGGAGAGATTTGCTGTAACTAGCCGGAGTTTGGGACACCCCTGCCCCTACCCACAGTTTTATTTTGCAGACTGGGACTGAGCATACAGCAGAGGGCTAAGCATTTGTGTTGTAAAGGGGAACGGTTAACTTTTTTAAATCGGTGTTTTTTTTCAATCCGTCCTTTATTACTATTATTATTCTAATTTTTGATAAATAACTCAAATTAGTGACCATGGCTAAATACTCCTTCTGCCTCCTATTTTTCTCACCATAACAACCCGGAAGAGAGAGAGATTGCCCCAAAATCACCCAGCCCAAAGCGGAATTGGAGTTTACAGATTAACAGAGTTGGAAGGGACCTTGTAGGTCATATAATCTAACCCCCGCCCAAGCAGACTCTGCACCATTTTTGGCAGATGGTAGTCCAGTCTTTTCTTGAAAGCTTCAAACTCACAGTCTCCTGGTGATTGGCCCAAAATCACCCTAGATGACGTCATGCCTAAGGCGGGACTAGAACTCACAGTCTCCTGGTGATTGGC